TATTACAGTTTCTCAGTTTCAACAGTTAGAATAGATCCTTGTAGTTTTTTAGCAGAGAAATCTAATCGACTTTATTTAGCATAAGATAATTCGATAAATTTGACTATTACCTGATATATCATTAAACTTTGACATTCCAGAATTCAAACTATTTCGATCAAAATAAGTTTACAACTTACTTTATGTTCACAATGACTTAAATGTGACTTTGCATGTGCATAATGTTTCTTTGCATCCAAATATTTTTCTTCCAACAATTTTACTGATCTGAAACATATGATTCCATTAATAAAATAAAATAAGTCTTTGGATATACTTGCATTTGAACAAATTTATTATATGTGGTGTCATCTTGTAGCCATGTTTCAAGAGCTATAATAGCTCGTCTGGCTTCAATAAAACATTCTGGTAGAGCAAATATATATGGTATTTTATCACAATCACATCTCACAGCTAGTTCTTGACATTCTTTCGATAATTGAGATAGAATAATCCCTTTTGTTTCTTCCACACGACTAGACATTTCACGTAATGTTTTTATTGATCGATTAGCTTGTATTAAATGTTGCCAACGTGATTTCTCATATGTGTAAGCTGTTTCAACGTAAGCATCCTGAAAAATAGAAATAAATAGTTATTACGGATTGTTAACTGTTAAAATGTAGAAGAGAATGCACACTTAAACGACGACTATTAGTTTTATTATGTAAACAATAGATAAATAAACATAAATAACCTCTTCATTTAAACGTTCAAAATTCAAATTTTCGAACGTAAATAGTTAGTAAATAGTGACTGCACTTGTATTTTTGGTTTTAAATTTTCTCCAAAAATAAGGAACTAAATATTTTTAAATGATATTATCGCAAGCAAATAAGAGAGAATAGAGTAGTAAGCAAAAGCATAAACAATAAAATTTGTATCGTCTTATTAGATACGTAAGCAGAGATAGACAGTTACAGTGACCCTTGTCAGACCAGACTGTGCGTCTATAGCAAGGAATTCTTTTAATTTAGCACCTTTAACTTTGTACCCGAATATTCATTTATACTAAAATAGTAGGGATAGGATATTTAAGATCAATTCCAATTATAGAATGTTTTAGACGGATAACATGCATTATGCAAACAAGAGAAATCAATAAATATGAGCAACGGATTACTTTTTACCGTTAATATGATTATCTGAAAAATAATAAAATGTGATCAGTAAGTGATTTTTTGTTCAAGGATAAAAATATTTCATATTAGTCACTTAAATGGCTTTTTTAACGTAAATAAAAAGCCTGACTATTATAATTATACAAAACACTTATTTTTTATTAAGACTGATTTAATTTGGATTAGTATGGAAATGCTGCTGTGCATGTGTATGTGTACCATTGTTTTTTTCGCTACTTGAAGCATCTGTAAATGTAGCAAATATAGATATTTCATCTTATTGAACTTGTTGAAAGTCACAAATTTGTTTGAACTTACTGGCATTCTCTCCTTTTTCTTATTTTGCACAATATCTTTAACATTGTCGATATTATAAAAACTGAGAAAATATTGTTCCATTAGATTTGTAACATCCTCAATTTTCTGAGCTAATGCTGGTATTTGTGTATATAACATATCGGTTGTACGATCCAAAATTCTTTTGATAAGTAAAACCGATTCTTCTGACACCGGACCAATAATCGCATTCATTTTAACATCATTTAACAAATCACGAATTGCTTTTCCATTTCGAATTTCCATTATTTGTCGAGCATTTCTCAATTCGTTTAGAGGTTTTGACCATGATATCAACGTGACTACTGATGCCTGTTGTCGAGATGTAATGTTGTTGACAAGTGATTGTGTTCCTGGTCCCGAGCGTTGATAATATTCATGTTCAAAACCTTCGACAAGTTTTGAACATTCATTTAATACTCGAGAGACATAATGATAGACTTGATCATAGTATTGAGGTTCGCCTGTGGCATTCCAAGGTTCTTTTGGACGCATGTCGATATCGTCAATTTGATAAGTATTATACATCAACTCAGAAGCCTTTACTAATTGTTGTTCTGTTTTTTACTTTTATTTCTAAATAAAAAACAAGAGAAATTATCCGTGATGATAGTAAATTTATTTGAAATAGTTAAACAAAGATTCATGGATATCTGTCGATTTTTTATTCATATAGTAGTTTGACGCGATCCGCGTTTGTTATCTAATACGTACAATAACATAGTTTATGTTTTCGTTGTGTATGTGTAAGGGATATATGTTATTAAATGCTTTTAACACAATCATTAACACTTCGTTTAGCTTTTTAAAGGAGAGAAGAGAACTTGAAAGAAAGATCACTAGATTAAAAAACAAACAAATATATGATTGACAATTTGTACCGACTTATAATAACCTTGAATTTGAAAAAATAACAGAAGAAAAAGAACGCAACGTTAATAACTATCAATTATATGTTTTACGTACAAAGCATCCTTAGTAGCAGAGTTGAGTTGTTATTTTCTGTCATGTTTGATCTTGTTAATCGAAAGAGAGCGAGAGAGAGAGAGGGTGAGAAAAAAAAAGCAAAAACAACGTCAGATTAAATCAAAAACTTTTCGTCATTTTTTAAGGAAAGAATGAAGTAAACTGAATACTTTTGTATGCATACAAATATTATACTGTCTTACACAGATGTATTTATTCATTTCTAATAGTTGTTTTGACAGCATAAATTAATTTTGCGATCGTATGCATATTCACACAATTCGTTGTAAAATGACTAAATAACGTTCTATAGTTTTCATAGAACTCAATAGAAATTCTATGATGCTTCTCGTCAGATCCACCTTGTTTATACAGAGATCTGAACCGAGAAAATGTGACTATATTTATCATGAAGAGCATCAAATGTCACCTTAAATTCTTGTAACTACTTTCTCAAAAAATTGTTTGTTTGTAACTTGGTTTATTAGAGA